ACTAATGCTTGAGGTCAGGTTTTCTGACCTCACGAGCACGCATATATTTTAAGGTATATACCCATATGAAGGAAAAAAAAATACTCCTCACAGACCTTCCCAGTGGGAGGAACTCTGTGGTTATTTTTTATTATAAGATTTAGTAATGGATTAATAATATGAAAAATTATTTTGTTATAAACATTCTATTTTTTTTTTTTGAGATGGACTCTCATTATGTTGCCCTCAGTAGAATGCTATGGCATCACAGCTCACAGCAACCTCAAGTTCTTGGGCTTAAGCAATTCTCTTGCCTCAGCCTCACAAGTAGCTGAGACTACAGCACCCTCCAGAAGCCCAGCTATTTTTTGGTTGGAGTTGTCATTGTTGTTTGGCTGGCAGGCCCGGGCTGGATTTGAACCTGCTGGCTCTGGTGTATGTGGCTAGTGTCCTAGCCTCTGAGCTATAGGCACTGAGCCTGTTGTAAACATTCTTAAATATGCTTAAACGTAACACCAAGTAAATTTGTTATGCATATAGCTCTTACACATTATTAAACTAAAATAAAATTACAAATTAAATACAAGTAAAACTATAAAATTTATAGTGTCTACAATAACATTAATGTATTGGATGATGCTTTGCTAAATCTAAGCTATGGTTTGCAATGTGAAGGGTACTGACTGTTTTGACACACGTCCTTTTGAATTCAGTGTCCATGCCCCATAGTGTCCCACATGAAGACAGTTCTCCCACCATTTTCCTAGTATTTCACCTACCGCAAACTCTTCCACTGCTCCATCCACATGGAGCAAATGAATTACTTATAAATTAAGCTTCTGTACCTTAAAATCAACTTAATTATAAACACAAATGTGGAGACCAAAAACAACATTGGCATCCTGCTATAAGAAGGTCATCAATGTCCAAGATGTTTTTGGCTTTTTAAAAGGGTATCATCTCACTTAAAATGCAAAATTTTTACATGCTTACAACAAACATGTGGACCCCAAGGCTATATCTGCAACTCTTAGCTTTCCTTAAATCCCATTTTCTTAAGATCATTGATAAGTTCAGATACTTCAGTTGCTCCCGACAAGTTTTACGGTCCCCTGGGGACTGCAGTGGCATCATCAGCATTGCCTGGTGTGCATGTTCATCGGTCATAAGATGATGATAATACTGATTCAGGATTTTACTGGTTGCAAAGCAGTCGACCACCTTCTTCCCTCATCCTCTTAACCAGGGGTCCTCAAACTTTTTAAACAGGGGGCCAGTTCACTGTCCCTCAGACCATTGGAGGGCCAGACTGTGGGCCCCAGGACGAGTCGGGGCTGCTAAGCAGGACAGGCAGTGGCGGCAAAAACACCCAGCAGGCTGGATAAATGTCCTAGGCAGGCTGCATGTGGCCCACAGGCCATAGTTTGAGGACACCTGCTAGGCTAAGAAAGGTTTTACAAATTATGAAGAATTTGTAATGAGGCTCTGAGAGGATGAGTGATCTATCCAAAGTTACGAAGCTAATTGCAGTGCTCAGCACTTGGACCAAGCATCCCAATTCCCAGTCCCCAGCACTCCACAGTTACTTCTATTTTGATCTCTGTGAAATCTATTCGCATTCTCAACCTCCATGCAGTCAGAATGACTATGGTCCAGGGTAAGTCCTGTGATGAAAGTCCACTCCTACGTAACATCCATACATTGCAAACTTTTTGACAGTCCCAGCCCCATTTATGTGAACAGGACCAATTAGCTACCTCAGATATTTTTTGGGAAAAGGATAAAATAAATAAATGCACAGCATGCTTTGCATGATCAGAGGAAGGATACAGGAGATTGGAAGAGAACCTCCGTGTAGCCCTCTCGAGCTAGATAGCAACTGGAGAGCCATCCAGTGTCCTATAACACAGCTCTCTGTGTTCTCTGTGTGCAGGGCAATTACTAGAATTGGGATGGCCAATGTACTACCCGTCACTCATGTGTTGCTAGTTACATTTAAGTTTAATTAAAATTCAGTTCCTTTGTCACGTTAGCCAAATTTCACATGCTCAGTAGCCACATATGACTAGTGACTACCATGTTGGATGGCTCTGCTGTAGAGCATTCCTGTTGCTGCAGAAAGTTCTACTGGACCTCATTGTCCTACACTTCCCTGTGCAAGTAACTTCCCTCAAACGTAAAGTATATACTTCTGACTTCCAGAAAGCTCAGGCTCTTGGCACATACAAAGTTCTACTGGCCGATTAGCAAATGTTTTAGAATGAAAGTGGGGCTTACTAGTTAAGCAGGGCTAGGAACAGTCAAAATACTGAACAAAACTTACACTCCTGAGCTGGCAGCCACAGTCGCGTCGCCCCGTGCCCATCTCTGTGGGGTGTGGGACAGGGCACTGTCACTGGTGAATAGCACGGACATCCCCATGCTTGTCCAGTTCAGCACTGACAGACTCCGTATGAGGCTGAGTGTGGGAGGTTCCTTTCTGGGACTCATGGAGGGAGAAGGCACAAGTCAGGAAGTAAGATTCCCCTCTGATGAAGACCATGTACCTCAAAGCTCCGTGACTCCCAATTCCTCACATTTGTTCAATATAATTCTCTGGGTTCTAGATCAGGATCAGATGTGGGCAGTAAATCAGGGAATTTATTCATCAATTCATTTATTCTCTTCCCCTCCTGTCAAAGACTCTAAGAGGGGTTCCAGAAGAGTTGGGCTCTCTTCTTATCAGCACTTGGTGGTCTCGTCCCTCAGTATTCCCTGTGATCCTTCCCTACATGTTTCTCAAGAGACATAACAAGAGGAAAAAGCTTCCTCAAACACTATTGTGAATGAAAGAGAAACAGACGGAGACCAACAGACATAGACAGACACCCTCCCCGGTCTGGAGACCAGAGCTGCGTGGTCCGGTGAGAACATAGCGAGAGTCACACATGCAGTTTTAGATTTTCCAGTAGCCACATTAAAAAAGTAAAAAGACATAAATTTTATGAAATTAATTTTAATATATTTTATTTAACCTAATATATACAAAATACTACCATTTTGACATGCAATCAATATTTTTAAATTATTTATGAGATAGTACAGTCTTATTATTCATAGTTTCAAGACTCGGGGGTGTGTTTCACCCTTACAGCACAGTGCATTTTGATTTGCACCAACCCCATCGCAAGTGGTCAGTAGCAACATGTGGAAAGAGGCTACCGAGCTGCCAGTTGCATGTCTCTAAGAATCTGCTTTTCAGGGAGAACCTAGTTCAATGGATTCTACTTTAAAACTTGTTTTCTGTGAGATGGAATCTCATTTTAGTAACCGGACCCATTTCTAACACCTACAGGCCCTTTTGTATTCTATCACCATCCCAATGGTATTTATAAATGTTTTCAAATTACCATAATTATGTTAAATAACACCCAACTCTCAGTCCAACCTCAGCCCAACACCACTCCCTTTTGGTCATTACATTTTGGTTCATTTCCAGTTTGGGAACTCCGTTTCACTCCCAACCAACTGGCACCAATTTTGCAAGAAAAGCACTCTGAATTGCCACAGCAAAAAAATCATTTTATGTGCATTTACCTTTCTTCTAAAGGAGTTGGAGTTCTGGACAGAATTGAGTTCATTGCGCCTAACTATATACCCATTGGTAGAAAAGTCAGGAAAATGAAAGTAAGGAGTTGAATTGACCTCTTGCTCAACCAGGCCAAACTCTTAGGCAGCAGGGCTGCACTTTATTTTAATCATTGGCAGGACACACCCTTGCTTCACATTCTCTCTCAGGTCCTGCGCCCAAGAAAGAAAATAAGTCACTGGCAAATCCAACTTCCCTGCTCATTCCTTTAAGAGAGTTGGTGGAAGGATAAAAGTCTTGACGATCCAGCCTGAGTGTTGAGCAGAAATGAGCAGTTCAGTTACCCCAACCCCAGCACAAAGAGGTAATAGAGTGAATAAAAGTGTTCAAAGAAGCAAGTTTGAAAGTGTATATCTTCTAAACCCTGTATTAGCACCTCTGTTTTTCCCCCTTAGGAAGAATCTCTAATTAAAAACCCAGATTTTACTTTTGTTGGGAAACAGATTCCTTTTTTCAGAGGCCCAGTGATGGACTGATCCAGAAAAGGCTCATCAAGTTCAACAGCTAAGACGGGGCTCCCTCTGTGGACATGTGCCATTTCCTGTAGGCTTCCCCAGCACACAAGGCTGGAAGAGCCTGGGGTCCCGGGAGCCAGGCCATCACCAGTGGACTCTTGACTATATCCCAACAAAAGGAGACTTCAAGTGCCTGCCCAAGAATAAAATCTGAAGTTTGTTGGCTCCCTTGGTGCCAAGGTCTTACTGGTGGGATGCTCAGTTCCACCAGCCTCAGTTCCCACAAGTTCCCTAGACAACGCTCCTGCTCCCGCCAGACTAGGCTCATTGTCCTTTTTGTGGTCCCAGGACACTGCACCACAGATAAGCCTCGCCTGGCCACCTCACCCCGAATCTCATCTCTTCTCATAGGCCTGTGTCATGCACCTTATCTGCATATTGCCTTATAATGTAAATGTTGTCTCCCCATCTAACTGTAAGTTCTTAAGAGCAGACCTCAAGGTTTAGTCATCCTCAAATCTCCCCATACAGGCTGATGTCATGCCTTATTCATAGCATGCCTTATTCATAACATGCCTTGAATGAGTGCATGTTAATGAAAATGACAGTAAAAATGAGAAAAGGGTAGCTCTGCAGTCATCCCGTCCTCATCACCCACCACAAACCACGATAGCCCAAACCCTGCCCAGTGCCATTAGGAGGAATGCATTCTCAGAGCCACAGCTTCTGCTCAAACTGCCAGATTCAAAACCAGGTCACATTTGGGTTTTTTTTTTTTTTAACTTTGCATTCATGATCAAGACACACTACTCACCCCAGGTCTGCCTTGATGGGATGGAAGGGAAGGGTAGAGGAAATAAAGGTGGAGAAGAGAATGACATTCTTTGCTCAACCGAACACACGCACACGGCACTGGTGGAGAATACAGGTGCGTACTTATCCATCTGTAACAGCAAAGGTGCCAACGAAGCTTCCAGAAGATGCCTCTGGTTGCTAAGCAGTCTCTGACAGGAAGCTGAAGCTCCCCAGGCTTCTGTAACTTAGGACATTAAAGTAGTCGTGTGGCTCAACACAGTCGTCTCCCCTCTGCTCCCTGCAGAGCTCAGCAGGGCCAGCTTCTGCCTGGACACAGCTTCCAGGGGATGGCGGGACGCTGGCACTCCATTGCTCCTGCTCAGCTGGCGTCCTCCTGAGGCCACTTTCCAGAGAACAGATTCTGAGAGATTTCTTCTAAAAACAAACAAACTACAAAGTGAGTATGTGAAGATGTGGGTCAAAATTTGCTCCCCAATATGACACAGACTGAGAGTTCTAATGATCCTCTCTCTCTCTCTCTCTCACACACACACACACACACGCGCACACACACTTGTGTTCTTACCAATGCCAGTCCCCTAGCCCTTCATTTCTCAACCTTATCACAGCCAGATTTCAATACTAACCACGCACGGAAACTGCACTTGCTACGTGCACAGCGTGCCGCATGCCTGTTACTTCCTATACTCTGAGCCTAGTGATGAAGCTTTGCTGTTTTCTTTCACCCTTTACTGCATTTGACTCTGTTGATCTCCTTGTTTTCAAAATGTTCTCCTTCCCTGGCTCCAGCGGCATCACTCTCTCCTGGTCCTGCTCCTCCTCCTCTCCCCCTCCTTTGAACCCCACCTGCATCTTCAGCCAGCCTGCCCTTGTCTCTGCCCATCGGCTCCCCACACCTTGGGGTTCCCCAGGTGCTTTCTCACACGCAACACTCCCTCCAATTTACTTCGTCTGCACCACCGTCCATACACCTGCAGCCACCATCTGTCTTCTGAAGATTCCCAAATCTCTATCCAAACCAGCGCCAGCTGATTAGAAACCTGGAGGCTCATGTTAAACTCTAATCACCTGGGGCAGCACCTGTGGCTCAAAGGAGTAGGGCACTGGCCCCATATGCCGGAGGTGGCGCGTTCAAACCCGGCCCTGGCCAAAAACTGCAAAAACAAACAAACAAAACAAACAAACAAAAAAAGCTCTAATCACCAGTAAGACCCCACCCTGTTTTACTCCCAAAGAGCTCGGAAATCTGCTTCCTCTTTTCCTTCCCTCCACCCATGTCTTCTCCCTCACCTGGACGTCATCCTTCCTGCCTCTGAGATTCTCCTTAGTTCTAGTCCAACTCCACACAGCCACCAGCAGAGTAATTTTTCAAAAATGAAAAGTGTTCTGTCCATACTTCTGCCCCAAACTCTTACAAGGCCCTCAAGGAGTATAGGAAGAGTACCTGGGAGGCACTGGTGGTAAATTGTATAAAAATTGTTCTGCATAATAAGACATTCTTCCGAGAAGTAAATCCATAATTTCACTGCATTCTCCATGAGAGACTGTGATGCCTCCTCCCCAAAACCTCCTTTGTGACTTGGTCCTGTTCACCTTTCCGGCTTCACCTGCGGCCATGCTTCAGGCTTCTCCACCCAACATACCTATACCCCAACTTCTGAGGCCTATATGCCAGAGAACCACCATTGACTAAGAGTCTGCTGTGAGCAGGGACCAGGGTGGCTGCTGCTTCTAATCTCAGCAACAACTTTATTAAAGTTTCTGCTTTGGAATGAGCTAACAGGCACAGACTGGTAAAGTCACTCACCTAGAAACAAATCCAGTCCTGGTTCAGGTCCGTCTGACTCCAGGCTGTGCCCTTCTCCTCAACCACACTGCCTCTCATCCTGCAGCTTCTCGAATGCCAGGTGCTTTCTCGTCTCCCTCCCCACTTTTGGGTATGCTGCACCCATCAGCCATTCCTTATAGTTTCCTGGAAAGTTGTCTACTCATTCTTCCAGACTCAGCTCCACATATCACCCAAGAAGCCTTCTCTGACCTCCCAGGGAGAGTCACATTCACTCCATGTGCTATACTTGGGTGTTTGCTAGCACAACATACAATGCAGTCTGGAACTTATTCCTTTCCTCCTCTGCCTTCCCAGGGCTCCAAATGATGAGCTCTCTGAACAAAGAGTCTGTGCTGTGGTATTCGCTATAAACTCAGACCTGTAACTGATGTTCAATATATATCTTAGGACTGAAACGTGTGCACACGTCTGTACACACACACAATTCTTCTATAGTCCCAAACCTAAAAGAATCTGATTTTCCAAATCAAAGTAGGGACTTGTGGCTAAGTTACTAAAGCTGTACTTATGTGACCATAGGACAGAAGAGTAAAATCAGTTGAGTAAAATTAAGGATCTGAAGTCAGCTGTCACATCCATACGTCATATCACAGGTGAGGATGGTGCTAAGATAAGGAAATCAAAGGACAGTAGGCACTAATAGGATGGCAGAAGAAAAGCTTACTGGCACCCCCATGCAAAGTTGACCCCCCTCTCAGCCTTACCAGAGACTTCTCTAAAGCACAAGTCCAAAGGACGGAAGCACAAAGAGCCACAGGCTTGGAAAATAACAGCAACAAACACACACAAAATCTCACTCTGCCCACTCCCCCTGCTTCCAGGATAGGAAACCCCAGCACCAGCATCAACCGTGTCAAGCCCAGCAGTGCACAAACATGGGGATGGAATGAAGGGAGGGTGATGGGGCCGCGTGGATGTGTACCATGAACAAATATCAAAAATTGGGGATAGTTAATAAAGTATCCCGAGAATGGAAAAGCAAGTATCCAGTGCACTCAATACTAATATGAAGCCAGGAGACAATCTAATTCACACCCACATAAGAGAAAAACTCAATTCAATTCAAGCTGGGGGGAGAGGGAGAAGGGAGGATGGGAGGAGAGGGGAGGAAAGGAGAGGATCGATCTGCTCCCACTTAAGGGGCACAATATGGGGGTATATGGCACCTCTTGGGTACAGGACACAACTACAAGAGGGACTCTACCTAACAAATGCAAATATTGTAATCTAGTTATTTGCACCCTCACATTAACCTGAAATTTAAAAAAGAAAAATGATGAAAAAAATCACCGATGGTGTATCACACTAGAGGCCTTAGGAGCTGGACCCAGAGAGAGACCATAATATCAGAAGCACATACACGAGTCAGTGGTCTTTCTTTCATTTATTCCTTTTTTGGTAGAAGTAGCTGAACCTTAATTTAAGTATAAGGAAAACGAGGGTTATCAGAGCTCATGCCCATATTGTGCTTAAAAGAACAGCTGCATCCCTTGATGCAATCCAATCCATTTTTAAAATGTGAATATTCAATTCTTTTTCAAGGAACTGTCTGTGATCACTGGTGCTTATGTGTTCTTGTTCCCTTTCTTGGTGAGATTGGCCACCTATGCCTTTTAATCTAAAGACTGTTTTGGCCTCCAAAAGTCCTCTGGGAAATTCGAATACTCCTTATTTGGGTCCCTCGGTTGTTCCATTTTCATTCCATCCTGCATTCAGGACACGGTGATTGTACTAATGTACTGATGTTCAGAAGGAAGGGAATCACGGAGATGGCATTTGGGTTCTCGCAGGACAAACATTGCCCTTTCAGGGAACATAAGGAAAGTGGACAGTGAGGTTGGCAGAGTCTTTGTCCAGGAGCTGGACACATGGACCTCCTTTCCCACATGTTGCACTTTTTGTAATCGCTGCTTAGCAAATAATAATTATTTGTTATTCATAATAACTGTATGCAATAAAAACATTTATTGAGTACCAGGTATTATGAGGTACTATGGTGAATAAAATCTATAATAATTATAAGAACTTACTAAACAAGTTATCAGTACACACCAGAAAAAATGCCGAGTGCCTTACATGAATTAAGTCAAAATTACCCCTATTTGACTTAAGTTTTCCCACAACCTTATGAAGGCAGCCCCATAATTATCCCCATTTTTTAGATGAAGAAACTGAAGCTCAGCAAAGTTAAGTGACACAGATACTGAAATGGTAAAGCCAGGACTCAAATCTAGGTCTGTGTGATTCCAAAGACCATACTCCCAACTAATGCAATCCTCTGGCTCTCAGGGCCTGTAGGGAATTCTATTGGTGCCTGTGATCATTAATTTTAGGAGTCAACCTAACTGGATTAAGGGATACTGAGAGCTACCCAGAGATCTGGTAGAGCATCCATTTTAGGTGTGTCTGCACTGGTGTTTCCAGGGGAGACAGGCATGTGAGTGAGTGGACAGACAGGGAAGATCTACCCTCAGTGTGACTAAGTACCACCCAGGCTGGCAGCTCAGAGGGAGCAAAAACAGAGGAAAGGTGAATTGGCCTTCCTTTCTTCTGGGGCCGGGGACACACTCTTCTCCTTCTGCCCTTGGACATCAGTACCCCAGGCTCTCTGGCCTTGGGACTCCAGGACGTACACCACTGAACAGCCCCTTGGATTCTCAGGCCTTTGGCCTCAGACCGAAAGTTACATAAGCTTTCCTGGTTCTGAGGCTTTTGCACTTGAACTGAGCCACACTCCAGCATCCCAGGGTCTCCAGTCTGCAGACAGCCTTTTGCAGGACTTGCCAGCCCCTAGTCACATAAGCCAATTCCCCTAATAAATTCCCTCTCATCTATCAATGAAACCTCTACTGGTTTTGACTCTCTAACACAACTCAGATCCTGCCACCTGACCAGCACTCCTATTTCTCAGGTGCTGGGAGCATAAGCTGTAAATTCACAGCAGTCACTTCTCTGGGGAATTGCTCTGGGGCCCTCCCTAGTTAGCAGCCAGAAGACCATGACTGACCAAGGTAGACTCTCAAAACACCAGCTCCACACCCCAAAGGGTAACCGACTCTGTGCACAATAGGGCTTCAAGCAAGTCTCCAGCTGAGACTGAGTCCACATGGAACGTTCTTAGCCCTATGCTGCGACCTTTATCTGAGAGCCCAATCCAATAAATCACTCTTACCAGAATTTGTGTGTTGGGGACCTGATCTAATACAGTTGCTTCTGGGAATGGTCTTAGGAGGCAGCTCTAAGGACAGGACTGGGAAACAGGATCCCTTGGCAGCTGGAGGGCAGTGTGGACCCCCTGGCTGGTGGTGAAATGGAATGAGACACAGGGAGAGGGGATTATGAGCTGGTGCAATGATGCTGGCATTTGAGATGTGTGGAGTAAATAGTAACTGTTAGGACTCAACTCTGGTTTTTGCTAAATTCTCCTGATGCACTAAAAAGAGAAGATCACAGGTTCAGCTCTGTTGGCAACTTAAGGTGATCAAGTTATAGCTCCTCCTTGGCAGCATTTAAGAGACGTTCATCTCCAGCAGGTGAAAACCAGGTACAGAAGCTAAGTGTAAGA